TTTCTCACCAGGGATTACCCTAATCTGACTGAAGTGTCCCTCCTCGAAATCTCAGCTTTGTGGTTTAGGCTAAAGCCTAAACGGTCATCATTAAAAACTATAATGGTGGGTTTTATACAAAAAAAAAAAAAAAAGTGAATGCGGATATTTGATTCGGGCGGCTGAGCTACCTTCAGTCAGACTCAACAACATGTGGATTTTCCCACTAACCTAATTTGATTGGTCAATTACTATTTAGTTTAATTAAAATACTATCCTAACGTCTTTGTCTAGGTTTATTGATTTTTCACTAGCCCCGTTCTGCTTCAATAGATCCCACACGACCATTTAGTTTTCTGAGCGGTACCTGCGAGGTTATCCCTTAAAGCATACATTTTGACGATATGTGACAGAATGATATATCGGAGATTTATGGCCACATATTTACAGAACTTTAAAAAATTGGCTTGAACTTTAAGGAAACTTTGTACACGTATATGCTAGATATAAGAACGTTTTTATGAAGTATTTTTTTAACTTTTAATCTTAGGAATTAAGTCGATTTTGGCTGAAATCGATAAAATTGCTCCTGAGCCTTGTTTACGTTTAAGGGCGTCAAGCGGGTTCCAAAAGGTGCGCTACACTGCGTCAACTTATACGCACTGCCTCATCTACATCCCAATTACCCACTAAACCTGATGATTTCATATCATGTTGTTTTCATACAGTGGATGTCACAAAACACTGGTGGGGATGGGGTTTCCGGGGTAGGAAATTAGGCATCTGAATACTAAATGATTAATACATTTGATCATACATTTAGCAAAGATTTCGTTAAATTTGTTAGCGTAAAAGCTTTTAGCGTGAAGTTATTTGCCTAAATAAGATTTGTCGTGCACAGGCTTATATACAACAATGAATTAATACCCCTTTTTAAAGTCTTTTTTTTGTCCAAAATCTTCATTAAGCTTGATTGCGCATAAAAAATTTCTCATAGTGGCTTCATTTACAGCGAGTGCATACGAAGCAAATACGATACGTATACATATGAAAGTCGGAGTCATCTTGGAGACGGCTCCACTAATTTTCGAAGGTTTTTTGTGGCTTAGCTTCAGCTGAAGTGAGACATACGGTGAGAATACTTTATTATGAACACTTTATGCTTGGTAAAGACGTACTGTCAAGGTTAAGAAAAAAACATTTTTCTGAGAACTCGGAACGGCGGTCAAGGATCAGTTCCGATAAACTGACCTGTCGATCGTTGCAAGTTATTGGTTACAAGTAGTTGTTATACAAGTAGTTTTAGCTAGTAATTCCAAGTGAATGAAACGTGAGGTTTTAGCGGGTACAGGGTCTGTATTATCGGGCAGGTAATCAAGATGAAGCTCGGTTCTGATCAGGCACCTTATTTTTTTAAAAACGTATATGCTGGATAGTAAAATCTTATTAAAGCATATGGTTAACAGTTACTATAATCACGCACTACTATCATTAGAGTATAAATATGTCAATAGATAATCAACTATTCATGATTTGCGTGGGCGGAAAAGATAAAGCGACAGGGAATCGTCTTGGTTTCTGGCGAGGATGCCTGATGGAAACTTAGCTCTCAGTATGTTTATGTTAGATTGATATCAGTCGTCGTGTACACGGACTCGCTGAACCGCGTGGCATCTGATATGTTAATATAGTTCGTTGATACAAAAACACCCATTTCTCCCTACCTGAGTATTTTCACTCACACATGTTGAGCTCTACTTATGCCTTATATATGACCATGTGACAAAGGACTGCATCTTTGTAGCCTTCGTGAAAACAATACACTTTTTATTTTGCCGGTCGCTATTTTTTAGTACGATGCTACGTTTTTTTCTAGGCGCGATATTTCATCGTAAAGTTTTCTTACCGACCTAAGCCAACCGATAGAAAACGATCAGAATCGACAAAATGACCATTTATATTGCCCAAAAAGTATTATAAATAAAAAAGTAAGTAAATAAACAAAAAAATACGTGTTTTTTTTTATATGTTTTGAATAGTGGTTTTCTACCGTTTTTTTGTTAACACTATATTATCATCGCTGTGAACAAACATAATGACAAGTAATTTTTGCGTCTATTGACATAAACACGGGTGCAAGAGTTCTGCAGAGACCAAAACAATGATGGTCTGATTGTGTAAGAACGGGTTATCTGACGGATGCATTGAAGTTCCCTATTAGTATTCTCTAATTTTTTGTTCGGTAACATGTTGGAAGACAGCGGCGCGTCTGGCGACTAGTTCCGGTTGATTTTTAAAGGCTCATCGTAGTCCTGCTAATTGTAAACAGCAGATACCCGAATCAACTGCCTTTTGCCAGGCGGCGACAGCGGCAGCAGCTCATAATGGACGAAATCTTCGCGGTCCCGGTAGCGTCCGTTCTGGCGTCAGCCCGGGCTTTGCCACAGATTACGGTAGAAATTGCTTTATTTTAATATTCTTTTGTTGGCCATCGTCCATCAGCCATCGTCAACCGACTTAGACATAGTTCAATTTTGTTTGAGTTTTACACATGGGAATACGTCGATTGAATATTTTTCGTGTTAACTTTTATAAAAAGCACAAATTTTATAGGGCTTGGCAGCACTGTTACCTCTTTGTGCTTTTGATAATGATTGATCATTTTATCGATTTATCTTCCTAGCATACTGTGCTGGATAACACAGAATACGCTATCTATGTCCAATTTATTATTATTATATATATATTATATATATGTATAGAATGTATGACTAGCATTACTGAAGTGATTTAACATTGAGACCATTTTAGTTTAATGTACCTTAACTTGTTTCTATTGAAGTATAAACGTGTGCTTGTCCTAGAAAATAATAGGCATAGTATTTGGGTAATATTTGTGATGTCTTACAGTTATTATTATAGTGAATAGGCGTTATTAGTGAACACGTCGGCTGGAAATTTCCAATGATTAGTCAACGTTCGGAATCGTTCTGGATAATTAATTAATTTTCGAAATAACTTGAAACCTACTTTGTGTCTCTCTTTGTTCTTCAGTCGCTTGTTATTACCGGATAAATTTTCATCAAATAGGTGGTTTTTCTTCATTTCTGGACTAAATATATGCCATTAAGCCTCCATCATGGATAATAGGGTCTGTATCATGATTGACGTTGAACTAAGCGTGCCTTTATCAGTGTTGTGTGGATCGAAGGTTCAGCTCTTGAGGGGCGTAATGGCCGACGTACTTTTGTCTAGTTTCTGACTCGCGTCAGGAGCTGGAATCCTATGTATTTGGCATTGCACATGCTGATTCCTCACTCTGGTCACGCCGTCCTCATTCATTCATCATATATATTCTGACTTCTACTTATGAGCGTTTAAGCCCATATCTACATCGTATCGTAAGATCTAACCGGGTTGTGATCAATGATTCTATTGGCCAGCCGTTTCCAGAGGTATCGCCATTCGCTCAATCCTTTTCGTGTCTTTGTTGATCTGTGTTTTTTTTTCCATTTTATTAACTCCTGTCACTTTGAAATATTCTTTCGGCTGCTATGTCTGGCCGCTTACTTTGGCATTAAGCTTTAGATAATTATAAAGATGCGACACTGAGTGTACTTAAATAGTTTGTTACTTAGCTATATATACTGGGTATGAACTGACGCGTCTGCATGTATCCGTATGTATATATATATATATATATATATATATATATATAATGTCTATAGAATTTGACGAAGCTCGATACGAAAATAGGCGGCCAGACTTAGCACCCGAAAGAATACGCCGAACTTATTAAAGTATTATATATATTATTCAATAGATCCCCTGTATGTATATATTAAGCCTTGTAAAATGTCTTATATAATTTATATCTGTACCTACCAACTTCTTGTTCCTGGTTTTTTTTAAAACAGCTTATGATCTGGGCAGATTTCTAGCAAACTCAGAAAAAGATTAGTTCTATGTTTGCATAGAAATAATTATCTCGTTTTTCTGAGAATATCTGTATCCGATGGATACCGCTCGTTATCGTCCTGCTATAACATGGCATAATAAGCACACGGCATTTTCGTTGTTTTCATTGAGCTGTAACTGTTTCCTCCGGCAGCTCACAAAGAGAGCGCTGTGCATATCTGCCCATATAAAAAAACAAACAACCGTGAATATTTAAATGAAATAATTATTCCGACAACGCTTAATATGCACGCTGCTTAATGTGGTACAATGTACATGTGTGTGCATTTCACATGTGGGTAACCTCGGGCAGCAATTGGTGTTGCTCTCGCATTTCCTGCCCAGCACAGCAGTCTTCCCATGGGCAGCTTGTGTGGGTCTATTTGTCAGTCCCCCTGCATAATAGATGTCGCTATTTTCAATCTTCGCAGATGTTTTTCTTGTGGTTGCTGCTAGTAGCGACTTGTCGTTCCGATGTAATAATAGTCACATAAACCTGCGGTGATGTGTCACCGTCCCGTTTTGCTGCTGCTGTTGCAGTTAGCTCCGTTTCTACAACGCATATGTGTAATGTGTGTTTTTTTGGTCAGCAAAACCTGATAGTTTCTAGCTTTTTGTTCACCTTATGCAGCCGGTCCTCGTTCTCAGCTATTTATCTGAACAACGTCGGTCATCTATACTATGCTAAATGCATGGAATTTTTAATTGCGTCAGGTTTTTGTCGTCACAGTGTTATCATGTCTGTCATCATCAAGACCGCCATCGTCATCATCATTGTCACCAGAAGCATAATCATCACGTTTCTCGAACTTGCCGCGAACAGCTAGTCTAAGGGAAACGCGCGCGCCCCGCGCGACTCGATGACACCCAGGGAAACCTCTTGCTTGTTTGTTTGGCTCATTCGAAACACTGCCCCATCGCTAACAAATGTTGAGGCGGCTTCAGCAGTGGCCAGCTAAAAAGCAGGTTCAAGCACCGCATATCGACAGACGGACAGATCAGCGTATGCAAATACGGACAGATCTGGTTTTGCTTTAGCTAATGTGCCGGCGCGTCAGACGTCTGGAGCCACGGCCCTAAGGAGCAGCCACTGAAAAGCATCGCATGTAAAAATCTGTTTTGTCGACGGTAGTAGTGACAGCGGTCGCAGGTAGAATGGCATCAATAGTGCTACTAAAGCTGTGGCAGGCATAGTCAGCGTCACGTTACGTGTATTATTGCTGTTACCAACATTCTAGTGCTGACGCTGCCATCACGCCAACAAGTCAACGAATCATCGAACAACCCATTGGTTCGTCAGTTGAATTCACCTTGAGTCGGCTCATTCAGCCCGTCGAGTCCTGCTCGCGATTGGTTGTGCGTCTCCCTGGAAGCACACCAGCCAGGATAAAGGCACGAGAGCGAAGGGCGTAATAACGATTCCACATTTCCCACAAACCGGGCACCAGGGCCATCGGCAGCGTGATAATGATGATCACAATTCTTTGCGGTCGTTTTCCTGCGATTTCTCCCTTCTCCTCATCATCTTGCCCTACCGGGACTCCTCCCACCAGGCGGTAACAACCCTTTCCACGGGCTACCAATGAGCGCTAGCCGGAGCATAAGCTCCTCCCTCCGGGCGCAAAGTGAGAAGCTCACGGAGACGCGATTTTAGACAAAGATGCTCTTGTCTTCTGGCGCGTCGGAACAATTCGGAAAGGCACGGAGCAACACGTTCTTGTGTTATCTGATCTTTTGATCTCGTTGCCAGTCTTGCCGGCAACAGTAACTGTGCCCTTAACTGTGAAGCACTATTGCTAGCGCTGGTACGTTACTGCTGTGGCGTGAGTGCTTCCGGCAGCCTTAATAGTGAAGAAAGGCCGGTGGCTTCCACGTACACTGTTGCACTGTTGTCGCTGCTAGTAGCCTATACTGAATCGCCCCTCCCTTGTGACCTCATCTTGCCCCCTTCACTCTTAAGGGCGAACCAGATCTCACGTTTCGACTTCGCAACATGTGTTGTTACGTCGCGAAAAAGGCAAGCTTGAAGTGATTGGTTTCCTCGGGCTCGTAGCAGTACAACATCTGTGACAAAAATAACAATCGTATACCTCGTAATAATGGACTATGCTGAGTAGTGATCGTGTTTTTTTTTTTGATTTCGTGCGCTAGAACAGTCAATCCCTTTTGTGAATTTGCTTGTTTATTAGTAAGAAGGATATCGACTAGCCGTCGATCAATTAATGAAAACGAAACCCAAGGAGGTCACGTAGAAAAACTATGAATAGCTATCTTCGAGTCGCCACCAGACCAAATCAATGCGATTTGTGCACGGAATCAACGTGACAAAAATCAATCAATCAATTATTGATTGAACAATTACGACGACCTCACCAGCTCGACGACCTGATCGAGGGAATCGAAACACCAGGACGAATTTGCTCGTTTTTCTGCGAAATACTGTGTACTATGTCTAATGTAAGTAAGACGAAGTTCTAGGGCAACGAAGCATAACCCAGTGACCAGATAGTCCTCAAAAATCTCTTTGGTTCTTTCTGAGTACAGAAAGACATCACGTATCTTCGGAAATACTGCAAAACAAACGCCAGATAATATGTCAGTGAACAGTGTGGAATCGGCAGATGTGGAATCCGCTGTTGCCAGGGTCCTATCAGGCTTCGACTGGGCACTTGTTCCGCCCGTTGCAGCGATGCGGCGGCCGTCATTAGCTGCACAAAAGAAGCGACTGCATATTAAACGCCCTATGAATGCGTTTATGGTATGGGCGCAGGCTGCGCGGCGAAAACTCTCCGATCATCACAAGAATTTGCATAACGCCGAACTTTCAAAAACGCTTGGCAAGCTCTGGAAGTAAGTACTCAACCATTATTATATTTAAACTAAGAGTGAGAATCTTGTTTTAACAATATTTTTCTAGCTTTAAGAAGCGATAGCGGTTCTAGCCCCACTAGTGATATGTACTACAAGACAGATAACGTAAAATCGACCTACAGATACAAACACCTATATATATATATATATATATATACGCTCACTGAATACCTGTCGCCAACGGTGTAGAGAGACCATTTGGAAAATATCACGGCATGTGTTATGATGTAATGTAAATTAGTTACGATGTTAATTCAGCAGTGTTTCGTAAGATTTCAGAAGAAAATTTGAATTAACGGAATGTGGGTTTCTTCGCGTGGCCGCCATAGCGTGCAATATTGTGATAGAATATGATATCTATAGAAGACGAGTGTCTAACCGGAAGGCTGCAATTAGTGCTAGAGCTACCGAAAGTTAATAAAGATATTGTAACAAAGCCTTTTTATCGTACGTATGAATGAATTAAGGATGTCATCCGCGCACCGCCTAAGTTAGTTTCGACTTTCGGCAAACGGGCTCTGGGTCAAGGCCTTGGAATAACTGATACTCGCAGCCTGTGCCTACAGGTTGGAACTTGTCAGCATCGATAGTCATCCAATAGGTCCACCGTCCATTGCACTTTCAAAGGTTCTAGGGAGATATTCAGGTATTTTTTTTAATTGATGCCAGAACTTTCATCGCTAGAACCATGCATTGATGTCTGCTATATTTTTTTGCGTCCAGTGGTCGCGTGGCTCCCGTAACGTTTTGTGGCCGCTAGATGAGCGTTAATAGCGCCAGTTGGTGAAGACAACGTAACATTATCCTCTGCATTTCTACAGCATTCCGCATGCGCCTCATCTTTTCTGTTTGTGTGTATGTGTGTGCGAAAATAAACATTTCTTATGACCTGCGAATCTTCTCGATGACCTTAATCTCCTGAAGGCTCGACGCAAGTGTATTAGTCGACGATAGTTGGGTTCTTGGCTTTGGCTTTCTAAGGAAATAAAATGAAGGGCGATCAGAGCGTGTGGCAGCAAGAAGCAACAGAAAAAACACAAGTAGACGAAAAAGTTCTTCCTCTTAAGAACCAAATAAGAACACGGCAATTGCACGCCTCTGTAAGCCCATTTCGGAGCCTTTGAAATACGATAGTAGAGCGACCCAATTGCTACTTCAGTGTTGTGGGAAACCGGTACGTTAAACCCATAGCTAACGCTGTAACGATGTCGCGTCGGCCTAATAGAATTTTTAAATGGAGACGCCACAGTGGCGTTTCGGAGAGCTGACCGTGACGGTATCAGGTGCGTGCTCCTGATCAAAAACAGTGAGTGTTACTTCAGGATGTTCGCGCGTCCATGATTATCAGTAATTACAGATTGATGCTAAATGCAATAAACGATTTGCTGTCAAATGTGCGAATAGCGAAGTTGTCGGTCAGGCCAGTTAAATCGCTTGAACTAATGAGCTCATGCAATCGTTGCATTTTTAGGAAATGACGAGAAATTTTCGAAAGCTACACTTGTTGGTCTGATCTAGAGTAACTTGCCGGTAAACATTTACAATCAGGCATGTAAGGAATCGGAGCCAAAACAATTCTTGCTCTTGACTTTCCACGGCTTAAGCGTCTGATCTACTAGTACCAATGCTGCGCCACTCGGTTATTATACAACGTCAAATAACATTATTGAAAGTACTTTTTTTTTGTTAACTTTCGCTACTTCTGCACGTAAGAAGCTAAGTTGTGCACTAGATGATTTATCCAACGGCCGAGCTGTGCAAGGTTTGACTGCATTTGGGGGCGCCTATTCCATGCCTTCTAAATTTGTCAGACGGGTGACAAGCATCTTATGAAACAAGGGGGTAACATGCATTCTACGAACCTAGTGCAAGGAGCCAGTGCTGTCCGGTAGACGCACGTCTCTAAATGAAAATCCATAGTAATAACGATCCATTTTTCCATTTTTTACTTTGTTTCTTAGTTGAGCTGCTATGGTTCGGCCCATTCAAATGGTCGATGAATAACGTGGTACCATATACAAACAGGAAAACCTTACACGTAAAACAGTGTTTTTGTGGTGCTGGGGCACGTTTACGCTCTTCTGTTATGGTATTAAAGCCTATTGAGTATGTCTGGTGATTTATCATTAAATTTACAGCAAGATAAGGAAAAAAAATAAGTAACGGTTGCTACATCTAATCTGTTGGCAATTAAATGGTTTCTACGTCAATTATCCACATTTTAAGAATCCGTTGCATTAAAATGTGCCGGTTTGCAATTGGCATTGTGGTTTTCTTTCAGCGTCATGATTTTGTGGCCTGTTATTCCTCTAACATTATTTCTAATTTAATGATGTTATCTTATTATACCCATAAATCCGGTGCGCTCAATTATTACCGATAGCAGTTGCCGGAAAACGTTATTTCGCTGTGTTGACAACATAAACTCATTTATTAGGATGGTTTGCACTTTTGTTTATTTAGTTTTTCTTGCTGGTTACATTGTCGTTCCAGATAAGTGCCTAAACTAGGTATTGCTGAGCCGGTCACGGCTGAATCAACAGTTTGTTGAAACAGAAACCCAGTGAAGGTGAAGAATGGAAGCCCCCCCCCCCCCCCCATTTGAACGCAATGACCTCAGCACGTAGCTCAGGTGGAAAAGCGTTCGTAAAAAAAACGTCAAAGCGAATCCTAATACCCAAAGCCTTTCACACCAACGCTCATCGACCATTAAAATTGGCACCTGTTCATGGGGCACCAAGACCCATCTAGACACAAAAAAAGCCTACATAGAAACATTTAGACAACCTCGTCATGCAACGGATTCTTAAAATGTGGATAATTGACGTAGAAACCATTTAATTGCCAACAGATTAGATGTAGCAACCGTTACTTATTTTTTTTCCTTATCTTGCTGTAAATTTAATGATAAATCACCAGACATACTCAATAGGCTTTAATACCATAACAGAAGAGCGTAAACGTGCCCCAGCACCACAAAAACACTGTTTTACGTGTAAGGTTTTCCTGTTTGTATATGGTACCACGTTATTCATCGACCATTTGAATGGGCCGAACCATAGCAGCTCAACTAAGAAACAAAGTAAAAAATGGAAAA